CCCCAAAAAAAAAGAGTGCAGGCAGATATAAAAGAAAGGGAGAATTATAATGCTCCAATCATTGCTTTGGCAAGTGTGAACTGACATGTAGAAAACAATTTGAAGTGGGGGGGGAAATGGCCTTGAAAATTTAAGCTTGGCAGGTGGTAGGATGGGGGACTGGGTGAATATACATGTTGATAGGGTGCAGGTGGGCAAAAGTGATTTTTATCCTGCCTTTTTCAGGTTACAGTGTTGAAAGAAGGCAAGCTTCCTTGATGTTATCGTTGAAATAACTATTTTTATCTAAATGACTTCAAATTTTTATTTAATATTGTATAAATAAGTCTTTTTGTCTTATTTTATGCAGAATCAGATTCAGTACCTCAAGCAAGTCCAGCAGCCTAGTGTTGCCCAACTGCGATCAACAATGGTGGACCCAGCCATCAACTTGTTTTTCCTAAAAATGAAAGGTGAACTGGAACAGACTAAAGACAAACTGGAACAAGCCCAAAATGAACTGAGTGCCTGGAAATTTACGCCTGATAGGTAAACAAAACAAATACTCCCCAGTCAAGACTTCCCTGACAGTCCCACTACGAGAATGCTATGGTGGGACAGCCAAGTACTCGTTTCCACACCAAGACTCAGACGTTTTGAGGCAAAAGCCACATTCTTATACTGTCCAGCTTGTAATGCTTAATGTAAAACTTATCAGATGAACCTTGTGTTTCAGCTTTTTTCTCCCCCTTTGCTTCAGAGGCCTGACGGCGTCGGACTATTCTGAAGAAATGGCCATCTTCGAAAAAAAATATTTTCTAGAACATGTAGACATTTGCAAAATTCTTCTATTTGAAGAAAATAGAGGGAGAAACAGAAGTCTTAAGTCTGTGGCACACTGTGTCTACAGACAGTTTGGAGCAGAGAGAACCTAGAGATTATAAATCATGAATTGAACATGTAAAATTCCCGTAAAATGTAGAAGTGGAATATGCTTCGCTCTTAACCTTGAGCCTAGTGACTTAGAGACACTGTAAGTCAGTTTTGCCAATAAGACTGTGGACTTCCTGCTTGTTCACTGAACTGCTGGGTCAAAACTCAATGAGGTGAATTTTGCATTAAAAAGTTTACTTGCTAACCAGTTTTGAATAGCCATGAGAGTGCCATTTGATACCACAACAGTAGTAGTGTACACATTTGACTGTTTAGCCTTTGGGCTCTGTAGCACTTGACGGAGCCTTAAGTCAATGTTGCTAAATAATGAACTGTTTTCTGGATGGTTGGTAATACTGTGGACGCCTCAAAATTAGGACTGTACGAAAATGTACATTCTATCTAATTGCAGGTTTAAAATTGTTGGAAGCAATATATATTTGATCACAACTAGCATGTATAAGAAAAACTGGTTGTGATAAGTATTTCACTGCATGTTTTCATGCAGAAATGAGAAATTTTTGTTCTTCTACACTAAGAACTGATCTCAAATGCTCAATACAGAAGGCACACAATGGCACCTGTCTTCAGTGTTGGTGGGGTGTTTTTATTCCTTTGTACACCTGGGTTTTTTTGTATTGAACTTCTATATAAAATGTGCCTTGAAATAGTTGTAATATATAGTTCAAGGAACACTGCTGGTTATACTGTTGTATTGTGAAACTCCTGGGATGAACGAGAATTGAACAGGTTGTTATTTCTGCATTGTCTCGTTCTCTGAAAACGAAGTCAGTATTTTAACAAACCAAAAAAACTTAAATGCATGCATTTACCTTGGTGGAATCAGTGAAGGAGCCTTTGCTACTCTATTGATGCCTCTGTTCTGTTGTCCCAAGTTACTTGTAAGAGTAGCTATCTGGGACAGTTGGGAGTGCATGTCTGAGGTGTGTAAAGCAAAATGCAGATTTGATATAGCATTTGTGTGTTTATTTTTTCCCTTAGCGAAATGAGTTATATTTAGTAATCTGAGGTTTTGACTTTCAAAACAGTTGGGCAACATTTTATGACTCAGTCTGATCCTAGAAAATTCAGTTTTAAATTAAAAAAAAAAAGACATCCAGCTGTCACAGAAGGTGATGTATTCTGACTGTTTTGATTACTTTTATTAAGATGACATTACGTATTTTTAACTTGGAAGTATCTTAACTGTTTGTGCTTCAGATGATACGGGATCGAAGAGTAGTGTACTTAATGCAGGTTTATTTTTTTTGCATGAGTAATGACTTAACAGCAAAAGAAAAACCTACAGAAAAACTTTACCTTTTAAAAAGTGATACATCTGGAATGATTTTGCTATAGCAGTATCTAAGATTTTAATGATCTAGCATCAAAACAGAGGTAAGACTTGCATTAATAAATTGTTAACGTGTTACCAAGCCATTTGTAAAGCTCACTATACTGTGCAGATAGAGACATGCTGTGCAGATTGCTTGTTTAACTTGGAGTTCAGAAAATTATTTAATGCATTTAGATACAGGCTGGTTGTTTTCTTAAGTCCTCAGGCTCTAAATGTGTGTGTACAACTGAGGAGAGACAAGTAACTGACCACTTGCTTTCGAGCAAAAGTATCAAAAGATGATTTTGTTATTTCTGTAGCTACAACGTACCCTAATACACATCATATAATTTTAAGTCAGTGGTGTGAATGTGCATAATTCATATATGCAGTAGCTGGAATACAGAAAATCAGAGTTATTTCCTGGTAAACAATTGAGGCTGTCTTCATTAACTGGGTTAAGATTTTATTGTTTTTTATTTCTGGAAGGGTAAAGAAATGGTGACTCATGTAAAGCATTTATAGGATTTTTCACTCTTTGCATCCCGCCCCCCCTTAATTGCTTTACTTGTCCATCCTTCTATGCAACTACTCTTATTTCAAGGCATCTGACATAGTTTTGAAAGAGATGATGCTCCTATTCAGATCCCTAACTGGTGTTCTTAGGGTAACATGTTAACTGCAACCCTCAGCGGTATTAGTTCTGGGCTTTAGCCATAGATAAGGGTGTACAGCATAATCATTTCTGATGTCTGGAGGGAGAAATAAAGGGCATTTATTCAAAGGAATGGCTATGCTGAGGCATTTCAACCATGATTAAACATAGACTATACACTTGGATTAAAAATTAGTAGAAGCGTCACTTGCAGTAAGCCTAGTACAACAAACACTAGTCTTCTGAAATTTAACCACTTACATTCTTACAGGTTCTGTTGCATGTATGTCCAGGAGGGTTTGTGAAAGCAATGCCAAACTTAGTTTTAGAGCTAATAGGAGTTATTTTAATAGTTACTGGATTTTATATTCTTGCATGTGTTGTCTTTTTTGTAAATTGCAAGGGGAGGTTACTTGGTGCCATACTAGTTTCAGAACATCTGGAAAAACTTTGGGAAGAAATAGCATTATAGGTAACTATGCAAATTTCTATACAGGTAATAAATATTTTACATTTTGGCAGGAGTTAACATGAAGAAATTAATGGGATTCTAAAATTGTCCCAATTCCAAGGTAACTGGTACTTGCTAATTCTACAGTTGTTTTGTGAAGAGAAAAGTATTAAATGACTTAAGCACTGTGAACTTCTTCAACTTGTAGTGATGATGAATACAGTAACAGGAATTTGCAAATGGCTAAAAATCGTTGCATGTCTGCCTAATAACTTTTGGGATATGTCACATTGGTTATCTCCAAAGTGGTCCTGCTTTACACAGAATGAACATCTCTAAGGAAACTTGCATCTTAAGTGTGTGACTTGGACTGTATTAGGTCAGCACAATTTAAACTTCAAGGACCTGGCATTGGACATCACATCAAGAAAGAAAACAGGTTGCTGCCTTTAGCAGAGTTTCAGGCTTCCAGGACTTTATACAGCCAGATTCCTTCTGGAGCAGCCCATCTGAAAGATTTGGGAAAGTCAGTCGGAAAATGTTAAATGGGCAGAGTTGGCAGAACTTACAAGTTGTCTAAGGCTTGAATGCTTAAAAGGTAGTTGATAAGGAAATTATTATTTTAAATTCTTTTGGTTGGGTATTTTGGTTGCAGGAGAGAACTGTGGCTGTGAACTGTAGCAGAAATTTCCTGTTCTTCTATAATCCTCAAAATTTCGTTCAATCTTTGTCACTTGTTTAAAACAAACAGCAAACAAACAAAAAATTAAATGACCTTCTTGGTCTTGAAAAGTAATGCAAGTCCTGCCATTGAATTCACAATAAACCTGTTCAAGTTTGGGTTCCAGGACATATATTTTTTTTTTTTTTTTTTTTTTTTTTTTTTTTTTTTTGGCAGAGCTTACACTTGTGTAGAAAAGAGGACAGCTTCATTAAGTTGCTGACCCTATTAAAAGGAGAACTGTTTGTGGATGCTATCCTGACTTTGGCAGACCAAGAGTCTTAAAGGACTTGAATTTTTCTCTTTTATGGAGTCAGCTGTATTGCCTATATATTAATTTGCATACTACTTCCTATAATGCTTTACAATGCAATTTTTATCGTGAAGATTAAAGATGTGTGATATTACCCATTTAGTAAAGAAAATTTTGTCAGTTCAAAATACTTTTTTTCCCCTGCCAGTTTCCCAGTTCTTTCAGAAACTGGACATCTTAATGATTGTTACTCATGATCTGAAATCTGTCATTCTAAAGGAAGTAGATTAATAATGTACTCCTTCCTTAACTTCCTGCCAATTTTTAACTATGTTTTACTTTCTCCTCACCATGCAAGATGTGCTTAGGAAAAGCTGACCATAGAATTCATGAAACAGACTGTGTACATTGCTGTCAAATATATAAACTGAGTTGAAAAATAGACATCTAATTTTTTAAACAAGAGTACCTGACAGCATTCAAAAGAATGTCTAAGCCTCTTAAATAAAAATGGATGTCACTATGAAAAATGAACATGGGGTTTAATGTTTCCCCCAAGTAACTTTCTTCTCTTCACCCAGATTTAATTATTAAATTTTACTAGCACAATAAATGAAGATTTTGTTCATAATTTGGTTTACATGTGTAATTTTTATGCAGTACTTCATCTTTTGAATTACAAGGCACATCTTTAATCAAATATTTAACTCCATTTAGAATTAGCACATGCAAGATTGTGCATACTGATAATCCAGATGTTGGTATCAAACAAAGAACAATATGCTTATTCGTATTTGCAGTAATAAAACTTGCCTTCCACTTTATGGGACAGCGACAGAAGATCAACTGGCATTGGAGCAGCACGTGGTAACTATAGGGAGACTTTCTGCTATGACAATTATGTTGAGGCATAATGTTCCTTGAATTGTGACATGCAGAAATTGCATCTCCTTTTTGTCTGTAATTGTGATTGAGGAAGATTACTGAAGGTTTTATATTCATTTTGTGATAGATGGCTCTTTCCTTTGCAGCCAAACAGGCAAAAAGTTAATGGCGAAGTGTCGAATGCTTATCCAGGAGAATCAAGAGCTTGGAAGGCAGCTGTCCCAAGGACGTATTGCACAGCTTGAGGCAGAGTTGGCTTTGCAGAAGAAATATAGTGAGGAACTTAAAAGCAGTCAGGATGGTAAGGGATTTTTTTAAGACAATGGAAGTTGCCTTGCACTTCTGCTAGTTTAATTTACTGATGATACACATACTGTAAAACCATCTTTGCCAGAATGAAAGGGTAGTACTGAGTAAAATATGACAATTTTAAGTCTTCACCGGTAGTCTTAATTTAAAAAACAAACAACAAAAAACCCCAAACTTAGCTTTGGGGGACTGGTGGGATTTGGAGCTCCGGTAGTGCAGTGTTTGAATTTGAAATTGCCAGATTTTGTACTGTAGGTCTTGCTATTTAATAGGGTATGTTTAGACTACACACATTGTGAATCGGTAAGATGAAAGCTGTTAACATTGCACGAAGCTAAGCATGCACTGAGAACAGAATGCTTCTTGTTAACTCTTGACTCATTTTGAAATTATTTTTTAAAAATCAACTTTTTAACAATGCCTAAGAATAATAAAAATAGGTTTGGGTTTTTTTTTGCTTAGGTGACTCGGATGAACAAAAATACTTCATTATTGTGTTCACAGTCCAAATTTTACAGCATTGTAAACCTAAATTGAAATTACCTATAAACTCTGACCTCTTGCATAATTTAAATGGAGGGGAAAATGCAATTAAAAAAAAAAAATCATCAGTTGAGAGTTCTGCATAGAATCAGTGTTTTTTTGGTAGAATATTACAGAGTAGGTTATCTGATTATTACAGTAAGTCTTGGGATATGAGCTATTTAGACACATAAACCTGGATACGTTTTTGTTTTACGACTGAAGTCTGTAAGATAGCATAGACTTGATTTGGCATTATCTAAGTCTGACATAGCCTGTATTTTTAAGGATAATTCCCCCCGCCCCGATGTAGGATCATATATTTGAGGAAGTAGCAGTACAAAACAACACATAATAACTAGAATTTTTCAGGTATATTATTCTTTCTGTAATGACATGTTGGAATAGTTAACCTTTTGCTTCTTAACTACTATTTAGATAATGCACTTCATCTAAATTTATCAAGTTCATAATTGAAGCAAGTGTGGACATTCTTTAAAGATTTCTGCTCTTGAATGCAGTAAAGTAAGCTCCGGAACTGAGATGCGTTCTTAGCTCCCTATTGCTTCTTCCCCATATGAAGAAAGACTATAGTAATCCTGCAGTAGCAGTTTTCCTAATTTTTTTTTTCAGTAGCAGCAAGAACACTTTAATTTTATGAATTTTTACAATAATAAGCAGTTTGCATTTTATTTGCTCCACCATACCAATGATGCAGTTGAATTGAAGACTAAGGGATTCAGTGTTTCTTTTACCGTTTTCAGGCCAAATTTGTTTTGCTCCAAAATGATACCTAATTGTGAAATCCTTTGTCTTGGTACATAACTAATTCCACAGGGTATTTTATTACTTAATCAGTTTTGTTGGCAAGAAAGTCTTCCTTTTAGTGTCCCATTATGCAGGATTTAAAGGATTAAGAGCAGCAAGAGCTGAAATTTCCTTGAAATGTGACTAAATTTTTGTTTTGTTTTGGTCACTGAACAGGCTTCTGTAATTATTCAGATCTGTTATATACAGATGTGGTTCATGGACACTTCTACAGTATAAAACCTTAGCAGAAACCCTTGAGTAAAAGTAGGTACATGAGGATCTGCTTGCAAAATATTAATTGCTAGAACTGAGCTGTTTTTCAAATACCCTCCTTTCTTGCCCAGAAATTAATTTCTTATACTGCTACTCAGAATATATGAGAAGTATGTAGATGGTAGTTAAGCATTTCCTCCTTCAGAGGCAGAGTGTCAAAACCAGTGCATACCTGATGGCTGAAAATAGTCTGTTGAAAAATTCCATCATAAAATGTTGAGTCACAGGATTTTAATTTTTTTGTCTTGAGATTCAAGCTATATATGGGCTATTAAGTATTTGCAACAAATGTGTTTTCTTTATATAGAATTGAATGACTTCATCATCCAGCTTGATGAGGAGGTAGAGGGTATGCAGAGTACCATTCTAGTTCTTCAGCAGCAGTTGAAGGAGACTCGCCAGCAGTTGGCGCAGTACCAGCAGCAGCAGTCCCAGGCCTCCAACCCAGGTACCAGCAGGACTCCATCTTCTGAGCCCACAGACCAGGGAGAGGCTGTGGGTAAAGACTGCAGCCGTCTGGCAAACGGACCAAGCAATGGTAGCTCCTCCCATCAGCGGACGTCTGGGCCTGGATTTTATAGGGAGGGTAGCGGCATGGAAGATGACTTCCCGGCTTCTCCAGGGAATGGTAATAAGCTGTCCAACCACTCTGAAGATAGAACTGGTAGAGGAGGTGGTAGCTACATAAACCAACTCAGTACTGGGTATGAAAGTGTAGACTCTCCCACTGGCAGTGAAAACTCTCTCACTCACCACTCAAATGACACAGACTCCAATCATGATCCTCAAGAGGAGAAAACAGTGAGCATGAAAGGTAACAGAACTGTGGGTTCCCGTCATGTCCAGAATGGTTTGGACTCCAGTGTAAATGTGCAGGGTTCAGTTTTGTAACATTTTTCTGCAACATTTTTATACAGTGTCATTTAAATTGGGAGAGGATACTGTCCAGAAGCTGTTTAAATTAGTGCATACTTGTCACAATTTTGCCTTTTTGTGGGTTTCTTTTTGCTTCAATACCTCTGCCACTTTGGAAATTTTAACAGTTAATTACATTGAATGTTGCTAAAAGGACGTTTGTGTAGCTCAAGTTATTTTTATATGAGTTAATGTGAAGTTGAAATGGAAATTATTTCCATAAAGTATAACATGATGTCTGTACAAATCTGTGTATATCTAGAACCTGTGCTGTGTAAGGGCATTCTTACTCATACTGTTATACTTACACCACCTTCAAATTTTGTCATAATAGCTGTGGGTTTATGACTGCCAAGTTTGCCCAGTACAGTAGTTTTATCACTAAAAGATGGACTTACTGAAGGAGTCCTCTAGTAGTTTCAGTGTTAATTACAGTTTTTCCCAGCATACATCTGTGCATTTTCTCCTTAGGTGACCGAATGTTTATGAATTGTGTGCATAGTTACTCAGTTTCTAAGAACTGTTGTATCCTGTTTATGCATATTGCTCTGTGACTCCAATATTATCTTACCTGTACTGACCAAACCTAAATAAAAACTTTTAATAATGTAATTTCCTCATTGGTCTGCATTGGCTTACACGGCTTATTTGTATGCAGTGTATTTACAGTATTTGCCTTTTTTTTTTTTTAAATTTATTCCTGTGACAATCCTATCTGATACAGCTTATGCGAAATGCCTGAAGTTACAGGTGTGTGCTATCATACTGATTTCAGGCCAGCCTGATAGTATGTATTCTACAGGTTTTGTCCTTACTGGCAGATATGAAGGGGGGGGGGAAGGAAAGTTAATAAAAGTAAACCTTACAGTTGGAACCTGGCTTTTATAAAGATTAGGAAAAAAAAAAAACACAACCAAAAAGCTAGAAGTATCCAACAGGTAAATATACAAATTAAACTACAAAACTTTAAGGAGTTAGTAATTCAGCCTCTTAAACTAGATATATAACTCCTGTTATTTTTTAAATGCCTGCCTGAGGGAACTGACTTTTTAACAGGTGCAGAGAATGAAAAAATTACCTTTAATTAAGCATACTTTTATTGTTCAGTAGCAATGAGTTACGAATTTCTCAGGACCTGAATTTCTGGTGGTTATTTTCTGTCTGCTTGTTTAGTGATGGTAGCACATAAGCAAGGTAGATGAAAAAAGACTGGCTTTTAAGCACTGTTCAAAGGGAAAATAAAAGTACTTAACAGTATATTTTTGGGTAGACTTAAGTCCAGTTTCAACATTTTTTCTACCTGTGAATCTTGTAATTACCAGATAACTAATAAAATTATCTCATATGTAGCCACTAAAACAATAGTAAATAGCTTATAGCTTTGCAATTCACTGTGGAAACAGTGAGACTCTTGTTTGAAAGCAGTATTTCTCCAAAGTTCTAGGACATGCTTTAATTTGTTTCAAATTTACACAGTTACAGTAAATTCGTAGATTATATAAGGGTTTCTGTGGTACCATGTTTAAGTCTCGTATTATATGAGAATTAGCATTCTGCAGTAGTATTGTCCAAGACAAATGGATATAATTAAAATACTACTAGCTGCTGACATCCGTGTTAGAGACATTCTAGCTTATGTACCACTGCTATTTTAATTTCATAGGGTTCACTTAAATGTATTAAAACCCCTTAGTAGTTGTCGCTGGAAGCGTAAATTCTATTGGTGATACCTGGTTGTTTTTTGAACATTACTTTAGCCCTCATTGCCTGAAAAATAGCAGTTACTAGTTGAATGCATGAAAGAGAAGTGACAAGTATCTATACAAAAAAAATTACCAGCATCTGGCATGCAAAGTACCTTCTGGTTTACAGAAATCCCTGATGGTGATACTATATTTGTATTTGGTCTTAATATGGTATTGCTTGATTGTCCGTAGTGCGTGTATATGTACATCCTGGATCCTGTACATGGTAGAATATAATACTTGTAAGAAGCTTAAAATGATGATGATAGATTATAACAATGGCTTTATCTGATAACATAAATGGTAAAAAGCCTTGTGGGGAAATCTGTGGTCATGGTTCAAATCACAGCCTGAAATACGAAACTTGGCAACTCATGCCAAGAAGATGATAGATGTCTTTTCACCTAGTATAAGGAATTAGAAGGATGTAAAATGCCTTTGGAGTTACAGTAATTGCTGTTAATTGTGCTAAGGTTAAAAAAATACATAGCTCTCAGGCAGTGACAGCTTGCTACTTAAATCTGTCAGTTACTGTAGGATATTCATGTCTTAAAACCTCATATAAAGATTATTTTGATTTTCTCAAGAGTGTGTGGTACATTGGTTGTAAATACTAAAAAATTAAAGCTTAGCTAAAGAGCTAAAAAAATTAGAAATACAAATTATATCCTCAGACTAGAAGTTAGCTTAACTTGTTGAAGGAACATAATTGTAAGGTAAGAGCTTTCTCTGCTTAGAAGGTATGTTCTAAATAAGCAGGCTAAGGTGTTTTATTTGATTTCCCCCCCCCAATGAAAGCAACCCAGTAACTGCACCAGTTAATAAAATGCATCATATAATTAACTTGCTTTCTTGGAACACTTATTGCAAAGCACTAGTCAATTGCAGTATAATAATACATAAAGAAATGCTAAAACCAGTAATATTCATGTTCTTGCCTGGCTGTCAGTGCCTATATTATGACATTTAATAATCCTGAGTGCATTTGGTTCGTTTTAACAAAAGATGACATTTTATTGATCACCAATAAATACAACATACTCCTCTTTAAAATTCGGTACCGCCTAAATCTTGCTGTGTAGATTTTCAGCATTCAGGGGAAAAAAATCTTGTTTCCAAACCTCCTGTTGATTTCAGGCAATTCACCTTTTACTGTATCTGTTGATAAAGCAGTTATTTTCACTGCTCAGATTTCCAGAAAGTACTGCTGGCTGATAGGTGAAAGTAAATTAACGTGGTTTTCTAGGGTCCTTCAAGGAGTGGGTGGACAGACACACAGTGCTGTACTGTGCCTCACAGTAGGCTGAGATTCCCCGTGCGGTGGTCTCGGCAATTTCCAAGATAAGGCAATTTATTTTCAAGAAGTTTGTTCAGACTTAACCCCCACTGAATTTTTGTAACTTGTGTTTTTATAGTCTGATAAATGTGGGTTCTGTAAGGTCTTACAGTGTGTGTTTATTTAAAAAGACAAAAACCAAAAGACTGAGGGGCTTGTGGTAGCAGAGACGATTTCCATACAATTCAAATTTTACCTAATGTTTGTCTTGTCTGCAGAGTGTCTCCTAACTCTGAGGGAAGAGTTCTTACTGACCTTTCGGGAGAACCGATTTTTAATGGGTCTTTGAACTCATTTGCACTAACTATACCAATTATTTTAGCTGATGGGGGTTTAAGGTACCCGAACGAAGGATTTTCATCAGCGTTAAAGGCCGTTGAATTGCTACCAGGAAGAAAACAGATGCTGGGAAACAAGATGCGCACCAAGATGAGGAAAAGAACAGAAATGAACCAAAAAAAAA